GGAAAAATACAGTTGTAAAACATTTACATAGATTATTATGATTTATCAAGTAAACGTATTTCCTGAGGTAAAAATAATGTATTCAAGTGAGTAATGTACGTGGGAAAATGATTGAAGTGTAATCATACAGTTATAAAAATAGTAATAAAACACTATTCTATATGAAATAAATGTTTTGGCACTTCATCACAAGTGGTAAATAAGTATAGATTTCCTACTTGAAGAATATGTTCTAAACAGATAAACGTTTCTTTTTTTTTCCGTTTTTAAAATCATCTTATTGGTGACTTTCATTTGTTGAATATAACACTCTTAACTAGTAGACGATAAATTAAGTAATCTGATTTTCTTTTACAGAATTATTATTGTTTACTCACTTAAAAGATGTTTTATTTATTCGCTTATCAACTAGCCTGTAGAATAATGTAAGTATTTATACAAAAGAAAAATAATACAAAAAGATTGTCCCTTTAATATAAAGATATTATCAATATAAAGTAGTAATATTGAACAACTAATAAAGTGTATTAAGTAATGATCAAACACTTAAGTCGAAATAATTGTGTATACATGATTTCGGTGAGTTAAGTGCTTTTGAAAAAACAAAAAAATAAGACAAACAAACAAAAAACTGACAGAATAGTAAAACGTTCTAATAATTGGTTAAGTTTGTTTTGCCTACATTATTTACTTTAGTATTCTTTATTTTTCTTCTTTGGATACGGTAAATTTCTTCAGCTTATAAGTTTTCTTTCTCTTCATATTCAACACTTCAACGTTGTTTCTAAAGACAATTCTTTTCTTTTAATCTACTAAGATAAACAATTCTGTTTTGTAAATTCCTAAAATATAAGTTTAAATGCTTATTTTCTCTCTATATATCTTAAAGCTTTTTCATTTACTGTATACAAATTACATATTCATACTTTAATTAAACATTCACAAGTGTTTATAATTGTTAATTACTTTGTTTTAATTTATAATTTGATGTTGTTATTATAATGATAATAGAAGGTAATTCATTCATTAAATAATAATGGTATTCAATAATGTTTTAGTTTTCATACAATCTGATATCTCCATTACATTTATATGCTTTTAATGAAGGATAAACTATGGAATATTGGAATAAAGCAAACATTTTTTTTTAAAAAAAAAACAAGAGAATAGTTGATTCAAAGCTTAATGCTAAGTAATTTAGATGTTTAACTTTTATTTAAAAGCAATTCATCCAGCAAAAAAATAAAGAATAAAATAATCAACAGTTTATCTATTCAATTAAGTGAGTTTTTCAAATGTAAAATGTAGTTTAAATTGTATGGAATTGTATTTATATTCACTATGGGATTTGTTTTTCTCTCTCAATGTTACTTTGTATACTAATGAAATAAAAGAGAAATAAGGACGTTTTAAATGACTCAATAAAGTGTTGTTGTTTTTTTGTTGTCCTAATGAATCTGGAGTCTAACCGATTTGCGAAAATCTCATTCTAGTTCATGGTTTTATATGAAAATTTACTTATAACGCTATATTTGATCAAACTCATTATATCTTAGTCTCCTAAACAGCGATTTAGCATTCAATTTGATATTCATTTCAAAACCTTTATAAGTTATGCCTGATATTAAACAAGATAACATAAATGAACCTTTTGATTGAGTAAAGTGTAGATTAATCATTTGTAATGAAATTGTGCCTTTATAAAAAAATCTAAGTCGATTGATAAGTATAGTTATGGTATTTTTTGAGGTGTTCTGTAAAAAATTATTCTATTCACTACAAACTTTATAACACAAAATAATTACATCAAAGAATAAAAACAATGAATGACTTCAATTTGAAGGTATTCATTTCGCTTAAAAATATGTATAGTTATCATACAGCTTTGGAATTAGTTTTCAACTCTTAATCAACGACCTAAATAATTAAACAATAAAATTGAAGTAGTTAATTTACGCAAATGATAATTATTCTTCAATAATAAATTTAACTAATTATTGTTTATTAATAATGAAAATGTGGATGTGGACGCACACTGTTAAAAAGTCCTATACTAGGACGAAATGGCCATTCAATGTTTCCAACGTTTTAAATGTTTGTGTAACATCAATTGATTCATGATGTCAATCAAAAACATAATAATCTCTACAACCCCATACTGATCATTATTATTCATTTATAATTGACTATGAAACTATTAAGAAAATATTTCTAATCTATATACAAGTGATTAAAAACTTACTTATGCAATGATTTATTACCAAGAAACAGATCTTTATAACAAAGTCACTTTTTCATTTTCGTCATTAAATGTAGCTGTTAAAAAAATATCTTATGTACAGATTTCACTTTCTGATTCGACGTTGAAATAATGTTAAATCTAATTCTTTTTAATAGTAGTCCGATGAATTTTTATCTTGTCACATTAATATGTCCCTGAATTAGCGTTGATATCCGGAAACACTTAAAGGAATATATTATTTGAATGCTGTCTTCCTAGCTTAAATCTTCATGTCAGAGTAAATGCACCACCTACATTTTTTTCACACACTCATAATTCAAATGGTATTGTTATGGTCATTTAAGTCACATCACTTTGAATATGAAGCTTAAACATTCACACAAGGAAACTATGTACATCGAGCTTTCATTACATAATCCATTAAATGAAAGGTGAACTTTCGCTCTATCTTATGTTTTTCTGTTGTTGTATACGTTTATTACAGATTAGAAGTTAATCATAAAAAACCATCTCAAGTATTGTTAAATAACAAATTACAAAATGTTATATGCTTTTACATGGGTGTATCATGATAATTAGCTTATTATATAATTCATTAAAGTATTCATTAGGCAAAAGATTATTGAATTTCACTTAACCCATTGTAATAACGTCTCAAATGATTTACAACAAATTTCCTATCTGTTAATATTTTAAACTAGTTTATTAAAAGACGTCAGAATATCAAGATTTCTAATGTTTTGATAGCTACATTTCTTCTGTTTTTTCTTTTAAAGCGAAGGTCTTTTGTCATTCTTGTGATTTAGGTTAAAATACCGACTATACTCTATTACATATACAGGTTAACATTCAAAAAACTAGTAGACTATTGAAAATAATGACGAAAACGCCTAAAGATTTCTAATGTGAAATTATTCTCTTTTTAACGCTTATTAATTATTCATAAGAATAATTTAAAGTATCCAGGTCTTTTTATAGTGTTAGTCACTTTATAGATACTTTCTGTTATTATTTTAATATAGTCAAGTCTATAATATCTGTGAAATTCTAACTACGTTCTTTTTTTAATGTGAATTGGACATTTTTCATAATAACAGTGACATTAGCCGATTGTTATTGAACCTCTAAAATTTGAAATCTACGCAGTTAGAATTCTCATTAAATTATACTTCTAATCACATATTGTCGTTTTAGCTTCTATATATAGAACTGTATGTTCTGTCTAATCAGTCAGGCATAATCAGCTTGAATTTTGATTTAAATATACTAACGAAAGTAACTCAGTAAATAGTCAGTAACTTCTTGAACAGATTTCAAGATTTGATTTGGTTATGTTTAGCACTCTTTCAGTCTGTCTTTGCTCCAGCCTATATTTCTCGTCATGACAGGCAGTGGTTGAGGATTTGTAGTATGTGTCCCAACCACCTGAACTGATGAAGATGAACAACTCCACCCACAGATTTGATATTTTTGCTTAATGCCATATACCTAATCTCAATATTGTTTCACAATATGCATGAACTGTTTTTAAGGCACCAATTACCATCTAGTCAGTTAACAATTATCTGTACCAGTTGTCTGAATAAACTATTTTAACTTTTATAATTTTATGTTATATTCAGAGTGCATGTACAAATAAATATCTATTGTAATAAAAGTACTTAGATTAATTTCAATCATAATCTGACAAGTTCCTTTGATATTGTAAGGTTAATATTCCAATTAAAATCTCAACAACACTAGAATATACTTTTTGTTCAGGGTTCACAAAGTCTAAAAGTTTTTATATCAGATAGAAACATTACAAAAGAGGAAGCAACAGATCAAAGTTTCGCTACAATGCAAGATATCTTAACAATATAAACTATCTATTTTATTAAGAATTCGACGAAGAACATTTAGATCTCGCAGCTATCATGAAATTATCAATGTACTAAGTGGATGTTCAACAGACTACGTATATGCTCCGTTCTATTAAACTTAATAACAAATCCATTTTAGTAAGTGGCAGACATATTTTCACTATCAACTAGCTTTCAAATGAGATCCATGTAATTTAAGCACGAAACTTTAATTGAATTGTCAATTCAGGTTATGCTATTACACCAACAACACTCCATAGAAATTCAGCAGTTTTTTTCATTAAAATAATAGACAGTAAGTCAGTAATGAACATCCTGTATACTTATTTCTTCTTTAAGTACATGTGGATAAATTGTCAAGGTGTGTCTTACATATATATGTATGAAAAATTTAGAAAACTTGTAAATTGATTTAAACATAATATTGACAATGAAACTATTGAAACGGTCTCACGTAAAAAATGTGTAATGATAAAACCATAATTTTATAATAAAGTAAACAAATAGTTGTATATGTGAAAATTAAATTTGAAATAATCTCAGCGATTGAAATTTAAATTTTTTTCTTTGATGGTTTTGATTTTAATTATTACGCTGAAGAAGTCCAAACAAGTTAGATGGACGAAACGTTGGAATTATTTAAATTTCAATCGCTGAGATTATTTCAAATATAATTTTCATATATAATGACTTCTCTATACTCGGGGCCCAATTTCTGTCAAACTATTAGTTCAAAACTTGACGAATATTCGTATACAGTAGTTGTATAATTAGTTTCTATTACGTCACATTTCGATAGTTGGGTACAATTCAAATGAAATTTAAAAACACTAAAGCTTAATGTATCATAAAGGCACATATACATATATAATGTAAATTTATCAATCATAACTTACTAATTATCTGAACCAAGACTGTTTCAAGTTCTATTGTGTATTTTCCTATTTATTATATTTCACAATAATCTTCTTTTGTTCAACTCAAAATTATCCTTTAATTACTTTCTATTTATATTCTCTTCTATTTGTTTGTTCTTTTTTTTTAACAAATAAACATAAAAACATTCCCTATTTAACCGAAATTAATATTTTATTTTATGGGAAATTTTCTTATTGGTCAGTTTACAATAGTATAATCATCTGTTTGTTTAGTTGTTTATTTGTTTGTTCGTTTTTTTGATTTTCCATATTTTGCTTTTTATTTATATGAATCAACTGAAGCTAGACTACCATAAAAAACCTGAAAGCACTAGATCAGTGGAGTTCAGTTGGGTCAGTTGTGAAATAGTAATTCACTGATGACAATGGTGGATGTATTATACATTAACATGATCGATAGCATTCGATCTGCACTAATAAGGACTAGACAAGCATGAGATTGATCACCACCCAGTGATCAATCAATTGTGATTACATCTCAGTCCTGCAGGAGGTCAGTCGCGGCTCGGATAGCTCATTGGTAACGTCTCTGACTGTGAAGCTGAGTGACACGAGATCGAATCCGCCAGGGAGCACCAGTTCCCTCAAGATTACAGGTACACCTTGCTGACGAGTGCCAAGTAGCACGAAACCCGGGTCCAGGGTTTCCTGTTGACTACCTCCAACCAACATCTAATACAATAACACCGTTGGATGCCGGCTCAGTGATCTAGTGGTTAAGTTCTCGCGCGCAAGACTGATAAGTCTTAGGTTCGAGTCCTGCTAGCGGGATCGTGGACGCTCACTGCTGGGGAGTCCCACAATAGGACAAAGTGAACGTCCCGTGCTTTCAGGTTGTCCATGGTGGTCTAGCTTCAAATGACTCATGATCTCAACTACTGAAATTACTACAATCTCCACAAAAACCCCTTTTGATGTTTTTTAGTATTAACTTGATACTTATTTCAACTTGAAAAAAATATTTTTTTTAAAAAAAAAAGAAAATGAAAGTAGGAGAAATGCATAAATGTTGAATATGAATAATTGTACGTTTGATTCAAATAAAAACTAATAGTTAAAGTTAAGAATTTAATAGACTTGTTTCTTTGATGTTGATTACTTCAATGTTACATAATAATAATAATAATATGGGTGTACATTAAATATTATTGTCTAAATATTTAAAAAGTATTCTCTTTGAAAGAAATGAATATTATTCTATATTTATATGTTAACATTTCTAAGATGTCTGCCATATAGATGTTTTAGTCAGTAAATATCATGTATCCAAAGCATCTGATTCTCCCTTATTATTATTATTATTAATATTTTGTACAAAATTACTTTGATTTGTTATTCTTATTGTAGGCAGAAAATATATTACAACAGTAATCTGTATACTTTAATATGCTTTTTTCTATTCATCAAATTATCATTTTTTTCCCTGTGAGTAGACATATTTTGATGCTTACTGAGTTCTATCAGTGAACATATGATAGATAATTTAAAAAGATCCATGCTTTTATCATTTATTGATTTGTTCAGAATGAATTAATATGACAATTTGAATCAATAATTGATTTTTGTAAAATTGGTTTCTTCCCACTGATCATTCATCGTCGAATCACATATAAATTTATTAAATGAATATTGATAAGAAATTTACCAAAATAACATTTTTTTATAATTGAATTCATGAGTTCATGAAAGCTAGGCCACCATGAAAAACGTGGAAGTACTGAGCGGCCATTCCGTTCTAGTATGAAATTGTTCAGCAGTACACATTCATGATCCTGCCTCAAGAGATTCAAATTCAATTTTGATATACAATACATTATGAATAAGTAAGCTTATCTAGTAAGTTGAGGTTTTGATTAAAAGAAAATTGAATAACCGCTGTAGATTCAACAAAACACATATTGATAACTTATTTACTCATATATGATTTAAACTTAATTGCTTCTTTTCACTATGAGAACAATAATTTAACAAAGGTCATTTGAAAACGACAATTAAAAGTTGAACAAATAAATACGTCTAGATAAAGAAATAAAATAAAATAAAAGTTGACTTAATCACACAATCTGATAAAAGTTATTTAAAGAACTTTTACTTGAGTTTAATTTTAGACAATTTCTAATAATCACTTTAGATAATAAATAACATTTCCTTTGATAATATCAGAACATTAAAGTTAAATTGACCGTAAAATCATTATTATTTGCTTAATATTTAGATTCAATTATGATTGATTTCCAATAAAATATAAAATTCAAAAAGTTTGTTTGTTGTTCAAATTTTATTTTTCTGATTCTAGGAACATTATAGGGATGTATAACGATTTAAATAAGTAAGTTTTTATTACAAAAAAATATTGACTTATAGCTATAAACAGTTACACTGAAGGTTAATTCATGAAGATTTAGGTTTAGTAACAAACGATGATAAGTTCATTCTATAAGCACCTAATATAACCGGCTCAATGGTCTAGTTGGTTAAGCGCCTGGCGTGAAACTGATAGATCCTGGGTTCGAATCTCGCGGGGTGCGGGATCGTGGATGCGCACTACTGAGAAGTCCCATACTAGGACGAAACGGCCGTCCAGTGCTTCCAGGTCTTCCATGGTGGTCTGGCTTCAATTGACTCATGATTTCAATCAGTGAACCTTCTAAAACCTCCACAAAACGCCTTCTGACAGTTTTTCAGTTCCTTATATAATGTAATTGTCATCAGTTGGTCACTTTTTTCATTTTTGGTTTATTTGATTTCATTGACCATAGTACATTTATAACAAAGATGAACTAAATTCTAAATTGTTAATTTGTAGATTTCAATGCCCTACTTTTAGATTGTCGTGTTAACTGTGAGATCTCAAGGGTAATTTTTCATTCTTGTATTGATTAATGATTATTATGTTTGAGAAAATATTCCAAAATACTAAACTCTGTTTATTAATTCTCTTCTAGACAAGTTCAGTTTATGACAATGATCATTTTTTTTAAAAAAAAAGGAAATTTATCAACTCTTTGAAAGAACTACTCTTTGCAAAATATTTCGAACACAATTTAGATTAAATTTAGTTTTTTCTTCTGTGGAGATGATTACTGAAATAGTTGATATTAAATGCAAGTCATAATAATTCAGATATTGTAATGATGAGTTTAACTTATAATGTCCACTTAAAACACACAGAATATAAATTATCATACAAAATTTACATATACTTAACCCAAAAAATATTTTCAAAAGACCCAATAGGAGTCTACATATGTGTTTTGTCTGTTACAAAACTCCATTGAAAAGATGCTAGTAGACATTTATTAATTTCATCAGGAATGATAAATATTAGGCTTGTTGAGTTAATTGCTAGCCGCTATAACTTAATGACTGCGTAGATATTGAATTGGAATTTTAAATAACAGATATGGAATTGAAAAATTAAAACTTAGATCTTGTTTCATCTAACTGACAAATAGTAAACAGAACCAAACACTTATTATAGTTTCAAGTTTCAACGATTATCATGATAATATTTTGAAAACTTTAATTACTGTAGTATAGAATTTAAATTTAGTAACTATATATCACTTTCAAAAGTTGTGAACTCAAGTCATAATACTTAAATTACAGAAACAGAAATGATTATTAACGACCTATCCCTACAATAGAATATATTTATATAATTTGTTTATTTGTCTTCATAGCCTAGAGTTTATCATCGAACCCATGAATTTGTACTCAACCATGTGAGTATTTATATTGCATTAATTCACAATCTGAACTGGAACTCAATAAACATGTTCAAAACAATTGAAATAACTGAAAAATACAGTGTTTATCTTTCAAACAAACACAGTTCTATTGGTCTGAGTTTATTTATTTTACTTAGCACAACTAATAGGCATGTTATTTTAAACGCACATTTCGAACTAGTGTTATGTAAGCAACGATAGATAGTGACTAGCAGTGGAATCCAGGATGCGCGTTTCGTTATGTAACATTTTTTTCTAATATAAAAGATAATTCACTGGAGTTACCTAAATTACATTGAAATTTGAACATATTTTGTTTATAAATTAATTAATATATATGTGATATCCCAATAAGTAGAAAAACATAAATTTTCTGACGTTTCGTGACTCAATGTAAGTCACTTCTTCACGGAATTTATTTATTCGTTGGGATATTATAAATATATTAATTTATTCATAACAATCTACTGAATGCTCAATTTATCCGAAATTATCAAGTTAAACCTTGGTAATGTTACTTACAAACTCATATTTTGTTTAGTTGCATGTTAAATTTAATCTGAATTCAATAAAAGGTAGTGCGGTCAACTTTATAAAAATTGATAAATCACGTTACATAAGTATTCACTGCGGAATGGGTAACTTTGTGTCGTCCAATTTAACAGTTACTCAGAGTTTGTGATCCAAGTGTGTAAGAGTTATAACAGGTCAGTAGGATCCTAGGTCTATTCCACAAACAATTGTTTTCTGACATCTTTGTTGTGTTAAGAGAAATATTATACAAAACATTTTATTGTTAATTTACACTTTAATTTCATGTAGGCTGTAATTATCATGAATGTGTTAATGGGATTCTTTAAATAAACACTCATTATAAATAATGTGATAACCAATTATATGAAAAATAATCTGTTGTTTTCAGTTTCTTTTCTCAGTCCACTCAACAAGAAAAAATAACATTTTGGTTATATGCACCATACTCATAAATAAATAAAATTTGTTTTCATTGTTCTACTCCAATAATTATTCACTTTATTTATTTAGTTGGTTATTAGCTTTATTCAATTTATATATTTGGTAAAATATAGAATTCTCAGCACAGCGTATTTCAGTAAGTTTCCATTTCTTAATTCTTGATCGATATTGACGATAAATATCGAGTGATCGCCAACTAGATATTACTATTTCAAAAGTCGACATCTGAATAATATTCATTCTTTACAATACATATTGCCAGAATTCACAATGTTTCGTATTATACATTTTCATAACTTGTAAAGCGAAGGTCGTAAACATTTCATAAACACACTTGAATAGGTTATGTAATGAATTGAAATAATGATGTGTTAAAACAAATAAGGAAACAGATAACTTGTTGAAATATCTAGATGGCAAGAACAGGTAGCTTAGATTTTCAAGCATGTCACCTTCTAAGTAATACAACTTATTCTATAGAGTTTCAGAACTTTTATGGTATGTAATTTTTAATTGATTCCATAGACAAATCATAATCCGAAGATTGAATTATCTACTACAGATTAATTCTTTTAATTTTTACTCTACAAACTGTTGTTTGAAAAAAAGCAATTTAAAAACATGAAACATCAAAGATACTTTTAAAATAATCTATTTTCATAATAAATACATTATCTTCACTATAGATTTTAAAAAATATCTT